ATTAACATCGGAATATTGAAGTCCACAACTGTTATGACTGACTGGTCTACTTTTCCCCTCTGTGCTGTTTGCTATATAAATGTTGGGGATTCTGTTGTTAGCTTTATATATGCTTATATGAAGTATATCATCTGGATGCATCAACACTTTCATAGTTATAAAATGCCCTTTTGCTATCAATGAACATTTTTGTTTTAAAGTCTGTTTAGTTTAACATAAGCAGAGCTCCCCAGGTTCATGCTATTTGCATGATATATCTTTTCTTAGCCTTCAACAATTTGAAATCTTTGAATTTAAAATGTGCCTCCTCTAGATGGTGTCTTATTATTATTCATCCTGAGAATCTCTTCCATTTGATGGATTTTTGCATGTCTAACATTCTATGACTGGATATACATCTGTAATTGTGCTTTCTATTGGCTTTCAATGTCAGCTTGTCTCTGTGTGGGAGTAAGATGAGGCTCTCTACTCCTGTAAAGAGCTACAGGCTTGGAGACCACAGGGGCAGTTCCACCCATCCTATCCGGCTGCTATAAGTCAGAGTCCACTCGACAGTAGTGCGTTTTCAGAGTTTTGAGTTTGTTTTCTATTTAGTAATTATTTTTTAGTGTAACATTTTAATTATCTTAATGCTTTTCAAAATTATGTTTTACAAAATATAAACTAAACTATTATGTTTTATAAAAAATAAACTAAGCTATTATAAAAATAAACTATTATAAAAATAAACTAAAACTATTTATTATAAATGAACTATTTATTATTTCCTTAGGGTCTGCTCTAGTACTTACAATACATATGTTAACTTATCAGATCTACTTCGGACTTATGTTAACCTGATTTAACTTTATTCCTCTATCACTCTATTCCTTCTCCTGTTTCTGGTCCTGTTATTGCAATACACTTTATATCTACTTATGGAACAAACTACCAATACGATAATGATTACTTTACATAATCATGTAATTTAGTGAAGCTGAGAGAAGAAAAAAGAGAAAGTATATATTTGTGGAACGCTATTATTAACTTTAATAAATATACCATTAATATAGTAATGGTAATAATATACCATTACTAGTTCTCTATATTTCTTTTTCTGGATTCAAGTTGTTAATTTGGGATGTTGGGATTCATCAAGCTATGCAGCGTGTGAGCCAGCAGGCGGCTATCTAATCTGATAATGTTTAGGCCAATCATCTGCCCTGCCGCTACAGGGCGAGCTTTTAGGAGAAGCCAGGAGAAGCTTCCAGTCTGGCTCCTGACCTGTGAACTGGGGATCTGTCAGAATCTCTCTCTCTCATGCTCTCTTTATACACACATAAACACACACATACACACAC